GCTTTATGGCTTGAATATAGCGAGAAGTGTGCAAGGGTCGCCGCATTGATGGCTGGGTGCAGTGTTAAATAGGCAAGAGTTTCCACATCATGGACGGATGTGGGCAAAGAAGCTAGTCCATGAAACTAGAATTTAGATATGATCTTGGAATGTAGGTTCTATTACAAACAAATTAATGAAATTAATTGCTATTATGATTCATAGGAAGATAAATATTTTTTGCATTCAGGAAACTAAATGGGTTGGAGAGAAGGCTAAGGAGATTGATAGTTTAGGATTTAAATTTTGATAGAAGTCGTATTATAAATGGTTTTGTTTGATTATAGATAAGAAATTGAAAGATAATGTTAAAAACATTGATATAATTGGAGACAAAATTATAACTTTAAAAATTATTGTTGATGCTAAGATTTTTAATATTATAAGTGCTTATGCCTCTCAAGTAAGTTTGAATATATGTTTAAAATTAAAATTTTGGAATGACTTAGAATAGTTGGTTCAAAAGATACCTCTTGAAGAAATATTTTATATTGGAGGAGATTTAAATGTATATATTGATAAAGAGGTAGATGATTTTAAAAGTATTTATGGTGGCTATGAGTTTGGAGCGACTAATAAAGGTAGTAAGACTATATTAGATTTTGCTCTAGCTTATGATTTTGTAATTGTTAATAATAAGAGATGGGCATCTCATCACTTATAAGAATGGATATAGTAAAATTCAGATTGATTCATGCCAGGTAGGTCTACTATGGAAGCTATTCATTTATTGAGAGGGTTGATGGAGAAGTTTAGAGAAAATAAGAAGGATCTACATATGATATTTTTATTGATTTAGAGAAAACATATGATAAAGTTTCAAGAAAAGTGCTATGGAGAATTCTAGAAGAGAAAGGGGTTAATAATGCTTCTATTCAAATCATTAGGGATATGCATGCAGGTGCTGTTACTTGTATTCAAACATATGGTGGTTTGACCAAGTATTTTCCTATTTTAGTTGGATTACATCAAGGATGAGCCTTAAGCCCTTATCTTTTTGCTTTAGTTATGGATGTTCTTACTAGTTATTACAAGAGGATGTACTCTGGTGTATGCTTTTTGCTGATGATATTCTTCTTGTTGATAAGACTAGAGTGGGAGTTGAAGGTAAACTCTAATTATGGAGGTAAACCTTAGAGTCTAAAGGTTTTCATTTGAGTATATCTAAAATCGAATACATGGAGTGTAATTTTAGTAGTAATAGATCTAGTGGGGGTTTGTGACTTTGAGCGATCAAGTTAAGTGTACTCGTTTTAGATATCTTGGGTTTATTGTTCAAAGTGATGATGAAATAGATGAGGATATTATTAGTAGAATTCAAGTTGGATGGTTAAAGTGTAGGAATGCTTTGAAATTTTTGTGCGATAGAAAAGTATCACTCAAACTTAAGGGAAAATTTTATAAGATGGTGGTGAGACCTACAATGCTTTATGGAGCAGAATGTTGGATATTAAAAGAGAAGCATAATGTTAAGTTTAAGTGTTGCTGAGATGAGGATGCTCAGGTGTTAGAGACAAGATGCGAAACGAGCCTATCCTTGAAATGGTTGGAGTAGCTCCAGTGATAGATAAGATTAGAGAGAGACGCCTTAGATGGTTTGATCATGTAAAACGACGGCCTTCTGATGACCCTGTTAGGAGAGCAAATGTATTAGCTTTGGCTTATGTTAAGAAAGGTAAATGTAGACCTAAAAAGACTTGGTTAGAAAAATATTAGAAATTACCTTTCTTTATTAAATTTAAATGAGAATTTGACTCTTAATATGACACAAGAAAGAAAAAAGATTTATGTAGCCTAACCCACGTAGTGGGATAGAGGTTTGATGTTGATATTGATTTTGTTGTACTGGTTAAGGAGAAAACTTGATCTCTATTAGTCAGGTAGCTATAGAAGAATGTCATGCCAATTTCTTTAATGATACTTTTCAAAAGTGATAAAAGATGTTTCGGTGATTGCTCAATGTAAAAAGATAAGTCATTTTATACACCACCGCCAACATAGGAATAATAAGAGCTGCTATTGATATGATCATATTTAAATATATGATATTAAATGCTAAGTCATATGTGTGAGAAATACCTAAATTTTTTTCAATCCTGAGAGAATATTTTGTGTTCAAAATCTACTGAATAATCTTCTATGATGTTTAGATTTAGAAAAACCAAAAAAAGCTAGTTTCTTAATAATTGGGAGGCGCTCAAATCTAAAAGACTTAAACTAATACATACAAATGCATCGGGTTCAGCTCCTATTGCTTCTTAAGGATGATTCTTGTAATATATGACCTTTATTAATGACTGTACCCAAAAAGTTTGAGTTTATATTATTAAAAAAAAATACGACGTAAAAGATATTTGATGAAAAAGGAATTAGAAGATAAAATTAAGTTCCTATGATATAATAATGGTGGGGAGTATCATTCCATGAACTTTACAAACTACTATAATACTTGTGGAATTTGTCTGGAGAGAGAACAGTCCCATGAACTCAACAGTAAAGTGGAGTAGCTGAGATGATGAATATAACTCTCAATGAATATGCTAAATCCATGAGATTGAATGCAGATCTTCTGAAGGCCTTCTAGGCAATAAAAACAACATCCTACTTTATCAATTAAAGATTATTAAATTAAAGATTATTAATTGCACTCAGCTTTGGGCTTCGTGAAGAAGCTTGGATTTGAAATGAGATATGCTTGTCACATTTAAAGTTTTTTAGTTGTCTATCATATATTTCTATTGAGTAGCTTAATCGAGATAAATTTGACTCAAAATCCAATCAATACGATTTCATTGTATATGATAGAAATGAGTTTGAATATGGATTTTAAGATAGTAAAGGTAATAAAATTGTTAGAGTGAAAATTTTATCTTCAATAAATTTCTATTATATAAAGGTAAGTCAAACATTAAATTCAAGTTCAAGGATAATCTCATGCTCGATTTTACTCTCAAAGCCTAATTCAAACTTGTGCTCAATTATAGGTTCAGATTATGAGTATGATCTATTGTAAATACTCAAAAGTGATGTCTATCATGAATGAACAAAACATTATTGACGTTAAATTTCACTTCATTCATGAAAATCTTGCATGCTCTCTGTTGTTTGTCTTTTAAGTTTATTGGTTATTGTAACCATCTGATCTTCACAAAATGTCATCTTCTCAAGCGATTTCAAGAACTCTACACCAAACTTAACTGGTATCTTCTATGCTTAGTTAGGTTTACGAGGTAGTCTTACTATAGATATGTCACTATATATGCAAATCCCTAAGTAACATTAAATTATTATTACGATTAACATCTTCATTTGTAATGATAATCCTTTAAAGCTATTCTATTTCCATCCGTTAAAGGATCTATACTAAAAATTTTAATTTAAGTTAAGCGAAAGATTGCATAACTAAAATGATATACAAGTAGAAATATATTGAAATAAAATGTTACTTGGTATCCAATTGCACAAATATATTGCAATTGCAAACTATGTTAGATGTTATATATTGATGGAAGCTATCATGCAGCTATGACAAAGTTTGCGCTAGTTATTGTATTGCTGCTATCATTTTCTTCCATACTTGCTTAATGATTCTGATATGTCAGAGATTTAAGGAATGCATAGTGCTTCTTTAATAGATCTGATGGTGAATATAATCATTGTCTATAGGAAGGGCGAGCTGTAGTATATTGTGATTACGATTGGCCTAACTAATAGCAATTATATAGCCATGACATATGGCTATTAGATAGCTATGACCAACACAGAAAGGAAGAAGATGCTGCTTGATTTGGTAGGTGGGTTATTTCCAGGTTAGATATTCAATAGTTGTGAGATACATTCGTACAAAATATATATGAAAAGAATTGAAAATGTGTTATAAAAACATAAATGCTTCTATAAACTATGATTCGGATATCCATGACGACCTCTTTGAGAGATCAACATTCTCAGATTACTCTGGGTTTTGCCAGCCTCATCATCAAAGGGTGACGTGGCGCATCCTGACTCGCCTCCAGAAAGTCTAATGACCGCACGTAATAATTTCTCCTTAAGTTGGTTGCTTAATGTTCCAATCATTGGCATATGCTTTGATTCATGAACCCATGTGACACACATTTAGTGTATTGATATTGATTTATCGTTGAAGTATGACCACTTAAAACACGTTTAATGTTATAGTATAGAACAACAACCTTTCACATTGCCATAAAAGATGCACATTTAATTTTGAAGGAAGACATGCAACCCTGTTGTGCCACACTCACATGACACATATATCATCTATGCTAGCTTAAAAGGTCAAGTCACATCCATACTGTGCCCCCCAAAAAAATTTAGTTAAATGACAATATATACTAAATAGAAACTAGTATATAATGCGAGATAATAATAAGTATACTTAATGTATGGTTTCATTCATCTAAATAGTTGTAAATGATAAATTGAAGTCATCAAAAAAATTTGGCAACGTATAAAAAGTCTATAAGCATAAATCCACAAAGCAAGTTCAAATATTCGACCATATCAAATATTCTCCAGCTACAAGAATGCTGGAGAACGGAGAACAAGAGTGGGAATTTGGGTTATGTTGGCTAGAGTGCCGAAAGTGACTTCGCCCATCGAGACTTACCATGATATATGAATAACAGAAGGCATTTGCGACCATGTTGTGTGAGAAGAGAAATAGAATGGGAAGGGAGTCATTGCTAGAATTAAGGGTCTATGTGATGACTTTGTGATATAGGAACTCAAGGAGAGAATAGGATGGGGCCACAGGATGGTTTTTGAGGACTAAAGCGGCCGAATAACTGGTTCACGATTGGACTAGTCGAATTAACTGATTCAATGCCGTTTTTAAAACACTACATTTATGTGTATATAAATTGCAGAATAGTGATCAATTTCTATCTTATTTTGGTGAGTAGTATCATCACTAACCATCACTCATGAACTGCTTCAAGTGGCTATCATGGAAATCATCCATTGTCGGAGGTGGGTCGGGCAATCCATATTTCAGTAGCAAGTTAACAATTTATGTGGCTCGGTGCTGATTGGTATTCAGATGTAGAGCTACGTTCGGTGTCCGCACAAAATAATCTCTATATTGAGCCAGTTTTGCTAGCATGCACCATTATGCATTCAATTTTTTATTCTCCGTAAGCATAATGGAAGCTATCATGCAAAGCTATGGCAAAGTTTATGCTAATTACTGTATTGCTGCTATCATTTTATCTTCCCTATCTGCTTTCCGAAACGGCTTGTCAGAGATTTTTAATGCATGCATAGTGCTTCTTTGATTGATCTAATGGTGAATATAATCATTGCCTATATGAAAGTGGGAGCTGTATTATATTGTGATTATGATTGGCCCAACTAATAGCTATTAAATAGCCATGGCCAACACATAAAAGGAAGAAGATGTTCCTTGATTTGATTGGTGAGCTATTTCTAGATTAGACATTCAGTAGTTGTCACAGACGTATGTGTAACAAAAGAGATCTGAAGATAATTGAAAAAGTGTTATAATAGAATCATTGAATTGTATGGAAAGTAATGTCTCATAAAGGAGAAATTATTATGTGCAGACACTGGACGCAGCTCTATATCTGGAGGCGAATCAAAACGCGCCATGTCACCCGGTACACAGCAGGAATACAGCCGCGATACACAATAAAGAGGTGATGTGGCGTGCTCTAATTTGCCTTCGGATGGCTTCCAGTGTCCGCACAGAATAATTAATGCTCATGAAGTCTATTCTTGATGATCAAGCATCTAAATATACAAGAAGTAGATGCTATATTTTCGGTAGTTTATATTTTAGATTTTGTTTGGGATAACTTTCTTACTATTTTATAAACAGTTTGTTAGTATAAATTTTTTGTTACTAGAGAGCTGCTTTAGAAAGCAATAAAAAAACTATCTCAAACGAAACTTTAGAGTAATTGCTTCTCTATTATTGCCTTCACACATGATCTCCTTTTGAGATATTGATCATCCGTTTTAGCCGCTGCCATGATCTTTCTTATAGTGCTTCCACTTTTAGTGGATTCTTAGTATTGTATTTCTTTTATTGTTAGGACCTTATATTCTTTCCTGGTTTGTAAAATATTTGGCATGTTAGCTCTTTTTCTTGTAAGGCCATGAGGCCATTAGCCGAAAGAAGTTGAGTGGTCTTTTGCTTATATAGAGAATTCAAAGTGGAATCATATGTAAAAATATATAATGTCATGAAGAGATATGTTTTTATTATTTATTTATTTATTTTAATAATATAATGCTCATTGACAAATAAAAAATATTTAAATTTCTTGAATTTTAGTATAAAAAGTGAGATGATGACAAATGATCCTGGTAATAAGATAAATTATTCATTGCTTTTATAATGTATGAGCATATAAATTAAATAATAGATATATTTTTTTTTCATGTATGAAGACATCTAGAATAATTTCAATATTTTTTTTTCTTAAGTTAGAATATCAATTTTAGAGTGAGGGTTGTTACAAATTGTATATGAAAAGTTAATAAATTTGATTGCGAATTTATTTTTTGCTTGTAGATTAAGATCAACAATTTGTATCCCATATTTAATGGTAAATAAAATTTTAATGGTATTTTAAGAAAAAATTACTTGCATAACATCAAAAATTTACCTATACATAAATTTAAGATATATTATTAATTTTATAGTCAAGTGAAAAATAAATAAATAAATAAAATTATTGCCAAGTGGTGTTCGCCTTAGTGTGTTAGCGTAATTTTTTTTTTTAAGGGGAGTTGCATCCAAAAAATAATATTTAATTCCCTAAAAGGATTAAAAAGTGTACTAAATGTTCAAAGAGTTGCATCCAAAAAAAGAGAAAGAAATCTAATGAGGGCACAAATTTCATTATTTAAATATTTGTTTTTAATTTTTATTTATTCATGCTTAAGACTAGCATTGGTAACCTTAAAATGTTTTTATTTAAATTTATTATTTTAAAAAGGTAAAATACAAGATAATGAAAAACTAATAATTTATAATACATATTGTTCATATTATGAAAAAGTTGAATTATCATTTTATTATTAATATAATTAAATATTTTTATTAATATAAAATATTAAAATATTATTCATTCATTAATCCCTAATTATATTTCATAATAGTTATAGTGGTAAAAGTAGTTTCAACATATATTACATGTATTGATCTTATAATAAATGATTAAATTTAATTTCTTTCAATATAAAAGAATAATGATGATTAATTATAAAAACTTTAATAAAAAAATAAATAATAATAACATTA